AGAATTCTGGGAGTTGAAGTCCACTCATCTTAAAGTGGCCAAGTTTGGACAACACTGATTTGGGGGAACTTGCCCTGATCAATAATATGCAAGAAAGCCCAGATGGTATTAACCGAGTAGTCAGAACAAGGGCAAAACTGGATTTGATTTAAATTTAAATACTGTGTAAATAACCTTGAGTTAATAAATTTCACTTAATATGACTACTCCCAAATGTTTTGAATAATTTTTAGGGTGAAGATTTGGTCCAACGTCTTGATGCCAATTCAACTAAATCTCTGAACTGAATGGATTTATCCAGTAGGAAACTTGAATCACATTTGATTCTCCAAACCGGTTCAACAATTAGTTAGGAATACTTATCTTCTGTCTTGTTAAATAATAATAATGATGATTTTAAAAAGCAGTTTGGCCATGTGTTTACCTATTATACATCCCTGTTGCTGTGCACACACAACATGCTTAACCAGATCAGGTCAAGACATAGCAGATACATTGGCACAATGCGCTAAGCTTGATTAGTGCTAACCTTGGTTAATTTTTTATAATGTGCAAACCAGCCCTTATAGTTTGGCATATTATGCAAATGTAGAAAATAAGTCAGCTCAATAACTAAGTTCAGGACATTTTGGGAATGCCTGCACTGTCTGTGAAGTGGTAGTCTGAAGCAGAACGTGGAACATTTGGGCTCCACCTGCTGTCTCCTGACCATAAGCAGACATTTGTGGTTGAGTAGCTTCCAAAGGTTGGAGTAAAGAGGGACTGTTTTGCCTGCAGGTCCCAGTAGAAGCCGAGAAGGAGAAGCCTAAGAAATATGCTATCAAGCCCCCACGTGACCTGCGGAGCAAATTTGAGTTGCGCCAGGAAGCCAAGCAGCAAGCTGTAGAACAGGCTGCAGAAGAGAAGAGGCAGAAGGAGGAGGAAGAGAAGAAGGCCGTGAGCTATGTAGCCTGGCGTGTGGGAAGAGACTTGTGGGCTGGGGTGGCTGATGTGAGAGTTGTGGGAAGGCTGGGAAAGGTATCACAAGGAGAAGAGACCTACGCAATCAAGAGGTAGGAGGTGAATCTGCTGGCAGCTCAGCCCAGGAGAAACCTTGTTAGAAGCATTTCCAATCATTCAGAGTCACCACCTTAAAGACATCACTATAAAGGAGGGTGGGAAATTCCTCTTTCAGTTTCCTTGATTCTGTATTTATCCCATATTAGTACTAATATGACCTTCCTGAAGTCTGCATAGTTCTTGCTTCCTTGATCTTGCCCAGCTTCATGGGGTTTGACCACTGGACACCATTGACCAAAGATGCATGGTCCTTCTCCAAGTCTTTTTTTTCCCAATTAAGTATTTTTTAAGGTCGAACTCTCAAAAGAGTACCAAATCTTGCAAGACATTCCTATCTCACTCCAAAATCTTGCCAGACTCTGTCATTATTACCTAAGTTATTGCTAAATCTGATGATCAGCTTTTTTTAAAAAAAAAAAAAAGGTTCAAAATTAACTTTGGAGTCATGCAGAGAACCATGTTAGGCTGTCATGGGAGAACTGGTGTCCCCCAAAAACTGTTCTCCTTTTTGTTTATTTCCAGGATGCAAAATTGATTATGACCAAGCTTACCATTTTACTGAGTAATCCTTAAGAGTTGTTGGGATGGAGCTAGGGACTTTTCAGTTTAATCACAAAAAGAAATGATGATTGAATGGAGCATTTCTGTGAAGACTGCTCTTTTTAACCCTGAACTAGAGACTGTAACATCTATCCCCAGATGATTTGTACTAACAGTAAAGGTCAACCTTGTGGTGACCTTTTATGAGGGTTGGTTTTCATGTTTCAGTAGAAGGGTTCTCAACCTGAAGTCCACGGACCCATTGGGGATCTGTGGATAGGTTTCAGGGGGTCCATGAACTTGGATGGGAAAATGGTTAGAACTTTATTTCACTATCTGCAATTTAGTTTGTCTTCTTAATGATTTAATGGATTACTAAAATATAATTAATATATTACTATATTACATATTTGTTATGTTTACATGTTTTAATAATCTGAGCATAACTGGTTTCTTTTTTGTACAATCTATATTTTTACTCTATGCCTTTAAATACATTTTTCTGAATTCTAGCAGCTGAAGTCCACAGATCTTAAAGTCGCTGAGATTGAGAAACACCAGTCTCTATAATCAAAATGGGTGTTTTGTGCAACTTCTCACAGGAGTCCAGCTGAGAACACTATAACTTTGCAAGATCATTTGAAATGTCAGTGTTTCCATGGGATTTTGCTGGAATCTGTGAGATTTGGACCATTTAATTTCAATTTTAATATACTGGCCCAGATCACTAGAGATGATCATGCAACGATGCCCCTCACCTGAAAAGGTCACCATTCTCTCTTCTCCTGGGTTAATTGTTCGTAGATGCCAGAAGCCACGGTGTGCAAAGTTTCATTTGTCACTGTTTGCAGACATCAGCGAGACCTTTGATAAGGAAGAAGCATCCAGTGCCTGAAGCTTGCTACGGTAAGAGCCATGGCTCTCTTTTTCTCTGCTCCAGATGGAGGAGAAGCCTAAGCCAGACCCGCTGTACGGTCTCCGTGTCCACGCCTGGGTGCTCATTCTCTCAGGCAAGCGGGAGGTGCCTGAGAGCTTCTTTATTGACCCTTTCACTGGAAAAAGCTACAGTACCGTTGACGATCACTTCCTGGGTATTGAGAGTCTGTGGAACCATCGGAATTACTGGATCAACATGCAGGATTGTTGGAATGCCTGCAGGGTAAGACTCAGGCTGGGACTGTTGCCTTCTCACTCAGGGGAATCTCGAGCCTCTTTTTTTTTTTAAATTGCAGTGTTATTAAAAATTACAGTTACAACAGTAAAAATGAATGCAAACTGAAAAAAAGAATAAAAAATAGAAGGCACAGCAAAGAAAGAAAAAATGGGAAAAGAGAAGGAAACGTAGGAAAGAAAGAAAAAATAAGAATATAGTAAAGAAGAAGAAAACAATTATATAAAGAAGTGACTTCCCCCTTTATTACAACAAGTATAAACAATTTTAGTAACTTCTCATCTCCTCTTAAATTACAACAAATGACCTCTTCTTCCCATATCCCATCTCTTATCTATAAACAAATCCTTAAAGCCTTGTCATTTCAGTCCTGGTGTCAGCAAAAGTCCATTAAGGGTTACCAGAAATAACAACATATCTGTTTTAACCTTGATCAAATAACCCAACTTTATATTCCTTCCTTTTACTTTGAACAATCTTGATCTTTAGCCTTGTCATTTCAGTCCTGGTGTCAGCAAAAGTCCATTAAGGGTTACCAGAAATAACAACATATCTGTTTTAACCTTGATCAAATAACCCAACTTTATATTCCTTCCTTTTACTTTGAACAATCTTGATCTTTAGTCCCTTTAAATAATGTCCTAGAACTTGATTTCTTTTCATTTTTTCTTTTTCCCTTCTCACAAAATTCTTCAAAACTTTAACAAGCCTCTTTTGTAAATCCAATATAGGAAAATTATCCAGGTCAGTTTAGTCCCTTTAAATAATGTCCTAGAACTTGATTTCTTTTCATTTTTTCTTTTTCCCTTCTCACAAAATTCTTCAAAACTTTAACAAGCCTCTTTTGTAAATCCAATATAGGAAAATTATCCAGGTCAGTCTCTTGGTTTGTTATTTGTATATCCCTTTTAATTATTAAGACATCAGCCAGTTTCTTTTGTATGTCCAGTGTAGCATCTATTTCCATGGCATTCTTGTAGCCTGTCATTTTTAAATCCACTTTCCACTCAATCTCAGTTTTGTCAGGTAGAACTTGTTCCTCTTCCATAACTTTTGTTAAACCCAGTCTGTTAAGAAGGTGACATTCTTAAAATTAACTTCTGGGTCCATTCTTCAAAAATATCCTTCAGTATGTCCAGTGTTAAAATTTTGCTACATTCTGTAATTGTATGTTGAGTTTGAGTTTCTTCTCCTTTAATTATAATCTTTAGTTCCCTCTAGTGTCCAATATTTAAAGTCTTCTCTTTTATTTATTTATTTTTTAATTCAAAACAAAAGCATTTTCCCATGGGAGGGAATCTTTATCATTAATTCCAAAATCTTATTTCAAATTTATTTGGACCCTTAGTCCATTTATAACTTTTTAAAATCAAAGTTTTAATCACCCTTTTGCTGTTTATTCCCAAAAAGATTTTTTTTAAAAGTTCTTAAACTTGTAGTTAAAACGTCTTTCACTACAGATTGAAGGAAACTCACCCGGTGCTGTAAAACTTGTTGATCCTAAGGTTCCTAATAGCTGAAAAGCAGTTAACAAGCTATTTCTAAAAGTGATTATAAAAGGAAGTATGCAAATTTATTGTCCTTTCAAAGGTGCTGACTGTGTTTTGAGCAAGATGGTTATTCCCTCATCTCCCAGAACTCTAAACCCACCGGAGACTGCTGTCTTGCGGTCTCCTAGTGAGGAGCAACTGTGTGGAACACTTGTGGGTGATCTCAAGTCCTCTCCTTGTCCAGAGAGGAATTATGAAGGGCCAGTGTACTCGCCAGCCATTCATTCTGCTACGGTCATCAGCTCTACTTTTCACAGGGCCATCTTCATTCCACCATTTCTTCCCTGGAAGTCAGGAATCTTGAGCCTCTTGAAACTTTTTTCCCTACCCACTGAAATAACCCACAACCTAACACACTTATTTTACAGCAGGGAAGAAGTTGAACGCTTCCCTAAGAGCTGAAGATGCCATCCCTGCTTCTTCCATTGAGGTATCTGCCTGACTGCCCTTCAGCCCCTCAAGGATGAAAAACAGGCAAAGCAAACAAGGAAAAACTCAAGCACGACCTCTAGCCGCAGACAAGGGGGCCCTGCTGGATACCCTAACCCTTTCTTTATGCAGTGGCTGAGCAAGGCTAAACAAGATCAGGATTGTTAATGGATTGCCCTGTTGTAGGAGCCCAGCCATTATTTTCCAGAGTATGCTGTATGAACCTGGGTATCATGTGATGGGCCCATGCTGGGTGACCCTCTCGTTGTGTTTAGTTAATTGGGGCTTAGAGTCTGTATGACTCAGTAGCTGGGTTCTAAACTAGCCATGGCCAAAAATGTAAGCAGCAAGGTGGAATTTGTCACTGACAAAAGGACTCATTTTGTGTCTTTATCCTTCAAGGGAGAGAGTAGAAATCCTGCACGATCTGCACAGTCTGTTATGCCATTTGCTGCTGAACCTGTGTGGTCTCAAGCTCAATTTTCCATTTTCAAGGAAGCCCCCAACCCCCAGAAATTACTGCTAAATTGTCCCCATTTAGACCAAGTCTACCCCTTGGGCAAAATCCCAGAGGTTATTTCTCTTCAATCTGTTGCTCCCTCTCTACGGAGAAGCTGCTTAGACATTCTGTTGCAAATGACAGAGGACAGAGGAGGTGGCCGAGCCCTGCAGAGACCAATTTAACATTAAGAACCTTTTGGAGCAGGGCAGGCATCCTGCCTTTTAACTGTGGCCAACCTCAGATTTACTTGGATTAGCCTGGCCTTAAGGGGCAAGCAGTCAGCCGAGGTTGGTCTGAGCAGGAGCATTTCTTGCAGAGAATTTAATGGGACCTGTTCCTTTTCTAGGATCTCCAGTTTGATCTCGGGGATCCTGTGCGGTGGGAATTTATGCTTCCCAGCACTGACAAACCTCTCTTGTCCCTGCCAGAAATGGAGGAGGAAGAGGATCTGGGTGAGGATGACATGGAAGATTTGGTAAGGGCTGGGACTACCAATTTTGACCCCCAACACTAACTGTTTTCTGCTGTGTTTCCGCAATCTAGTTATCCAGATCACTTACAAAACTAATCCCTGCCTGCACACATCATGCTAAGCTTGCTCAGCCTTCACCTTGATTAGTTTCTTGTGGCTTGGTTTGTTTTGTGAACTCAGCTCCCTGGAACAAATCATGATTCAGTGTGCATTGTGCAATCCAGAACTGAAGTGTGATGTGTGCATTCAACCCTAGATCCATCAGAAAATCTGAGCAATGTATGTTCGTGGCTTTCTGCTTTGGGTTCCAGACATTGGCAGGGCTGAAAAGCAGGTCAGCCTCACTGGCTGGCTCCAATAGCGCTGCAGACCTTTGGCAGGGTGATGTGGTAGTAATTCAAACAGGGGTGGAAGCAGGAGCTCTCAGAGTTTCTTAACGCAAAGTGTTAAAGTGTGCAGTGCAAATGTAAACAGAGCACAGTTCTGTGTTCACATAATACGCTTAACTTGGTTAAGGAGCATGTGAAAAGGAACTCTTCCACAATTTTATTTATTTGCTTATGAAATTTGTACAATACCTCAGTCCAGATGGACTTGAGGTGGTTTTACAAAATGTATAAGAATAATACAGCAATAAATACAAGCAATATATAAGTATAGTAAAACTGAATTTTCCACTGATGGCTTCATCAAAGGCTCAGTCAAGGACAAAATGCATGCACCATCTCTCTTTCTTCTGTCATGCCTTATGTAGGCGTAAAGATAGTGTAGGCGTAAAGATAGCCTACCAATGATCAATAGAAAGTTTCTAAAAATAATACAAGGATTTCTGTCCAGAAAGATAATTCAGACTGTTAAATGTAGAGCAGGAGTTAGATAACATGGACTTTGAGAGTTGAGCATTCTCACAGCTTCATTTCTTGCATCCTGGTAGATAAAAGAAGAGGAATCAAAGAGTTTTGACATGCCTGCATCTTGGGTGGAGCTGATCCACATATCTTCCAAAGGTATTCTTATTTTTCTCCAACTTGACCAGTCTCCAGTTGACAAGCTTGGTGAGGAAATGACCAGCAATATGATCTAACCCTTTCAGAAGGCATCAGTTTATAACAGACTGCCCATAATTGCAGTGAGCACCTAACTAGGGATCAGGAGCTTCTTGAACCACTGATAGCTTATGAGGTGCAGCTTCTCTGCAACTTAAGGAGACCTTGGAAAAGAAATTTGGGGGGAAGCTTAGAAGAAGAAGAAAGTCGTCATGTATTTATTTATTTATTTATTTATTTATTTATTTA